TTTATATATATTGTTGTCATAGGCATACAGTGGGGTAGGAGGAAAATCTGATGAAGCTTCGATGCATCCTTTAATGAGGTTTGTTTTGTGTACAGAATGTGTCACGAGTGCTTTCTGTTTCATAGTGCTGTAGAAGACAGGAGTAAGAGAGCAACAATTCATGTGGAGGGCTGGTTTTGAAATAGCTTTTAATTGTTGACTATTCTAGAAAATATGCATGTACAGATGTACAACTCACAACTGAATGCTAAGATTATTAGCTGTTAGAAAGATATAAACAATACAGGCATTGGGAATACATTTCATAGAACTGTTGCTACCAGTGAGAGTTCAGCTCGGCCTTTGTGTTTCCAGGCAGGCTAGTGCCATGTATGAAAAATATATTTATGTTGAGCTTCACTGAAACACTCCAGTTTTTATAACAAACAAATAAACAAAAAAAGACCCCAAAACCCCAAACTATCAGCTTTCTTTTGCAAGCTGGGAATAGGAGATAAAAATTGTCCCCAACATAAAAAAGACCTGGACCTGTTGGAGAGAGTCCAGAGGTGGGCCATGAAGATGATCAGAGGGCTGGAGCACCTCCCCTATGAGGACAGGCTGAAAGAGTTGGGGTTGTTCAGCCTGGAGAAGAGAAGGCTCCAAGGAGAATTAATAGCAGCCTTCCAGTACCTGAAGGGGGCTACAGGAGAGATGGGGAGGCACTCTTTATCAGGGAGTGTAGTGATAGGACAAGGGGTAACGGGTATAAGCTGAAAGAGGGTAGATTTAGACTAGACATTAGGAAGAAATTTTTCACTGTGAGGGTGGTGAGGCACTGGAACAGGTTGCCCAGGGAAGCTGTGGATGCCCCATCCCTGGAGGTGTTCAAGGCCAGGCTGGATGAGGCTTTGAGCAACCTGGTCTAGTGGAGGGTGTCCCTGCCCATGGCAGGGGAGCTGGAACTTGATGATCTTCAAGGTCCCTTCCAACCCAAACCATTCTATGATAAGCTAAAAGAATTGGCCACAGTCTCTTGTTATTTAGCCAATGGCAGAAGGAGGTTTAGAAACAAAGTCCATCTTACTTAACCTTACTTTGTAATTGGGAGATCATAACCTTGGTGGGAGCCATTACACAATGTCACATGCAACAGGAGTTGATATTCATATTTCTTGATTTGAAGGGATGGCACTCCTCACAGCAAGCATGGTTTTGTTATACAAGGCTGTTTATGCCATCTGAAGATTCTGTAACATACTTTTTGTAACAAAATTTAATTTGAGGTTGCAAAAGGTACTTGGAGCAACTTTGTGTGTAATTTTTTAGCCCTTCCTTCAGTTTTTAAACTTTACCTGACCATTACATCTTCAGGAGAGAATTCAGAATTAGTATGGAATTGCTTGACTGGAGTTGTGTTCCCAGCTTTACAGCGTATTTGTTGGCAAACCTCTTGTTCTGTCAGTGCCTGAATTCTTAAATGTGAATAGCTCTTTCTCAACTTGAAGACTTTTAAGAGAGGGATCTTTCTTAGTCTTAAACTAGTCCAAATCATTTGGGTTTCAGACTTGTATTGTGAGCAATGCTAATTTAAGTTCCAGATAGTTTCCTTAGTAGCAAACACTGTAACTCAAGTGACTTAGTCAGACCAGGACTAGTAGTTGTGCAGGGAAATGCCCAAAGAATCATTGATTGCTTTTGTTGCTGTTTGGTCTTGTTTCCCTGTTCGTCTCTCCATCCTTGTTGAAATGAGAAGATAATATAAATGCTACAGCTGCTGGGCTGTGGTAAACTCTTCAGAGCAGTTTTATTCCTCATCCTGCTTCAGCTTCAGAGGAATCTGAAGTAAACTGTCTGTCCTGGAACAGGATACAGAGAATGTGGCAAGAGAAGGACAAGTTCTCTACTTCTCCCAGACTGTACATGTTACATTAATTTACGGACCTCCAGTCACACCTTAAGTGTAAAGGGATGAAGTTTTGCATAAATGTCTTCTGTTGATATATTGCCCTAAGGATATTTTGTTAATTTTTCTTTGAAGGGAAGGGGGAGGAATGAAAAAGGATGGCCCACCTCTCACAGTACTGAGGCTGGATTTGGGACTTAACAGCTATTCCTCTCATTAGTTGCATTCATGCCTAAGCAGAATTCTCACCTCCTGCCTGCTCATGCATTTACTTGGTAGGAACAATCAGCTGTTGGGTTTTGCTTGCATCCAGTCCAGTTGTTCTGTCTCCTGTGAGGCAAAGTAGCAGGCCAGATGGAAGCCAGAAATAATAACTGACTGTATTGTGCACACAAAGGATCTTCTGTTTTCTGCTGGGTCAGTGTTCATATGATACGATCCATATGACAAACAATATACCTGTACAATCTACTTGTCTGCACTGCATTGTTCATGAAATGGCAAAATAGTTGAGCAGTGATGTATGGACAGTCTCCGTTGCTTGACGAGAAAACATCCAGAGAAGTTGGCTCACTGGGGAATTCATGTTGTCAAAGATGTGACGCTCCTTTTTGTTGTGTGGCCCCAAGAGGAATGAGTGTGGGTTTGGTTTTTTGTTTTGGTTTTGGTTTTTTGTCCATAGCCAAGAATGGTGGAAAGGACAATCTGTTCTTTGATCTTTTTCCTTCTATGGTTAGGTGAGGTATTCATGTCGTACATCTGTTTGGGTCAGAATATTGAAACAATGCAGCGGCTTGTTTGCTTTCTTGGTTTGCAGATACTTTGGATATTTTGTTCTTGTTTTAAAAATACAGTGGTTTTTAGTTTCAGCTGAAGTACTTGTGCTTGGAGTGCTTGTGATGAGCTAAATAGTATTAGATCCATAACACTGAGTTATGTCTTCTTCAGAAATGAGATATTGTTAATTTTTCCTATACCTAACTATGTACAAGAATGTTTAAACAGAGGCAAAGTTTAACTTTCTAATTAGCAGATTCTTGAAGAGGCTAAATGGCATATATATGTGTGTTTTGTCTACAGCTTAAAAATCAGAAGCTTATCAAATTGTCACAAGTTTATTTTAGAGTGATTTACAAATTTTACTGTTGAGTATTTTAAACAGTAGCAAGATCAGAGAGAGAGAGAGTAAATGCAGTGGGGTTTTACTTGTCAGCTGTCGTGGTCCATGGAAATAGTGGTTATTCCAAATACCAAAACCTTTACAGAATGCTTTTTGTATTGATGCTGTCAAGAGTGCATTAAGGGGTGAAGAATGTCTGTGTAAGAGTTTGGAGATGAATGAAAGGATGTAAAGAGATGGGATGAATTTTTGACCATGTTGGAATCAATAGACATAAGTGTAATTAACCTCAGTAGACCAGAATTTTAGGCTAGGTAAAAGTCCCATTACTGGAAAGCAACTTGCAGACTTCTAAAATGAGAATTATGTTGAGTGAGGGTGGTGAGGCACTGGAACAGGTTGCCTAGGGAAGCTGTGGATGCCCCATCCCTGGAGGTGTTCAAGGCCAGGCTAGATGAGGCTTTGAGCAACCTGGTCTAGTAGAAAGTGTCCCTGCTCATAGCAGGGGGGTTGGAACTAGATGATCTTTAAGGTCCCTTCCAACCCAAACCATTCTATGATTCTAAATAATTAATTAATTAAAAATAGCAGAAATGCTGTAGGAGAGAGTCTTCCTTTTTGCATGTAGGAGAGTGGTCAGATCTGTTGTATCCTGATATTTCAGGAACTAGCTCCCAAAGTGGACCATGGTTCAGACCAGAGTACTTGTAGCTAGGTGCTTAACACAAAACACATCTAGCTCCTCATCTTTTGAGAACAATCTCTTGCTCAAAAATTGTAGCACCTCTGCATCTTGGAGGTCTCTGGGAAGGAACAGCCTGTCTCAGGAAGCTCACAGTAGGAGGATAGATCCACACTTTTGGAACAAGGGAAATGACCAATGTTTCTTTTTTCAATTTGTGCCATTGAGATTTGGGTTTTTTTTAAAATACGGCTACGTGAGGCAGCCTTACAGGTCATTAACAGTGTTTCTCTGGTTTACGTGAATAAATCAAGTTTTAGGGTATGCCTGTGCTGCTCCAGGAGAGAAATATAAAGATACCTGTGATACCTATAGCAGAGGAATATAAAAATGTCTAAATGACTTTGAGTGCTTACATAACAGCTTAGGAGTAATGGCTTTATGAAACTTTATGCTGATTTACCCTGTATTGTAAATTAGCCCCTATGGAGTTTGTACTGCAGCATAGACATACTCTCAGCTGATTGCTGTTAAGATTGTGACTAGAGTAATAATTCATTTTTCTCATGTTAAAAACCTGTTCACAGTTGTCTACCCTACCACCACCATTTCTGCCTTCTCGTCCACAAAGTGATGCTTCTGATGAATTAACTCATGCGTGGTAACATATATAACAGGGTGAAAAGGAAGGGTCTATGCTCCTATAATAATGTATTATATCTCTCTTTTTTTCCCCCCATGTTTTATAGACAGCCTCAGTTGCCTTGTTAAAATCTTGCCTAGTGTTTGATTTCCCTCTTTGTTTTAAGAGGGCTGACAGTTTTGGAATTGGGGTTGTAGAGTTTTGTTTTTCTAGAACTGTCTTCTGCAATGTGACAGAACATGGCAGTCATCACTAACTTGTCATCTCTGTCAACAGTTTATTGGTCTTGCCCTTACCTTTCTTACAGCCCCTTCCTCCTCCTTGTGCTGCTCCTCCTGATGAACACAAGTAATTCCCTTTCCCCTCCATGTCCTGCATGTCTCTTCCTGTGTCCATCTGTGATGCTCTGTTTTCAGATTAAAGATTTTTGGAGGAAGGACTGTCTAGTGCAGTGAAGCCCTAATACATAACTGAGGCTCTGAGTAATACAAGTAATAATTAAAACACTAATTTTGGTATTTTACAGCTCTCCAAAAGGCAAATAATGAAGTGTGTGCAGTTAAAAAGCAGTCCGAAGGCCTTAGAAGAGAATATGATCATCTAATGAAAGAATATGAACAGCTTCAGGTAGGTGGTTCTGGATTGCTGTAAGAGCACGATGTTCTGAAATTGTACCAGAAAAATTCTGCTTATTGGGTTATGCAAGAGAATTTACCAAAATCCTTTAGTATAGTGTAAAGTTACAATGGTCAGCACTCCTTAAACTTCATTAGAATAGTAGAATTTTGTTGACTGGACAGCAAAGCTGCTAGCATTTTCTTTTTTGCACTTCAGGTGACAAAGCTCAGGGCATTGTTACACTTGATTTTGCACTTGTCATTTGGGAAACAAGATTCAGATAGTTTTGTGTGTGATGATCAAACTGAAATCCTGTAGGAAAATTATAGGAGTTGTGTGTGTTACATACATCATTTATAAGAGTAATCTTGGTTAGTTTGCTCTTTAAACATGCTTTTGCAGTACTGGAGTATAAATGTTGCAATACTGTTGATATGCAAGAACAACAACAAAAAACAAAAACCCTGAACAGCATAGGCTAAACATAGGCTGCTATAAAAATTCAAACTGAAGTACAAAATGTACAAGGAATGGACTTGGGAGAAAATAAATTATTGGTGTTAAAATTATGGTGACCTGTTTTTCAAGAAGAGCTTTTTGTTGATCGTGCATTAATCATAGAATCACAGAATGGTCTGGGTTGAGAAGGACCTTAAAGATCATCTAGTTTGAACCCCTCTGCTGTGGGCAGGGTTGCCAACCACTAGAGCAGGCTGCCCAGGGCCCCAAATAATAAATTGAATTAATAAAAATAAAAGATGCAAATTTGAGCTGGTTATAACCTTTCCTGTAATCTGAAGTCGGTGACTGATTTCCAGCCTCACCCTATACTCTTCTAGAGATTGCTCAGCTGATCTCTGTATTCGAATTCAGACCACCATGCATGTCCTATCTCTGTTGTGCTTCCCTGTGTAATGAGCCATAGCAGTCCTGCTGCATGTCTACCAGTCTTGTGGTCTAGATCACACATCCTTACAGTTTTCTATGTTTACCCCAGAATGGAAAGAACGGAAAGTACTGAGCACACAGTAGATGCAGCTAAGGATAAATCAGTTGATAGCAGAAAGTGTCTGCTGAGTTTGCTGCACAGTTCAGGTGTAACATGAGCAGGGAGAAGTAGGCTGTGTGGCTGTTACTGTACTAGGATCAGAAGCACATGTGTTATGTGGGGTAGTATTGATGGGACTACAACTTTGAAGGGTGTATAGTGAACAAATCAGGTGTGACTGCGAGGCAGAAAATGGGGCATTTGGAGTCTCTGGTTTCTGATCTTGCCAAACATAAAAAATTATTTTTAATCTGTCTCTTTTCAGGACAGTTTGAATGAAGCAGAAGACAAGAAAGACCTGTAGGTGCATCGAAGACAGATGGCATCGGTATAGTCGCTTCAATGTGAAAAGCCTTGTGCTGTTTAGGCACCTGATGCATACTTGAAGCAAAACTTGATTTCTCTGAAAAGCACATGCACTGCGGGTCACTATTTGGATTCCTCTAACAACATATCTTGGTTGCCAAAATATTCTGTGTTGCAAATAAAATGTTAAGTGGCTTACCTGATTTACTATGGAGTTTGTCACTGCTCTTCTGAGGAGAAACTCAAAAAATCTGTTGCAGTTGCATCTGGAGCAATGTGACTGTTCTCCAAGCTTTTGCCTTACAGAATGGTAACAGATCATGCACCATTTGCTTGTAGCATTTGAGCAAGGTTGTATGTCACACTATATCATAAAGACACAATTACTTAAACCTCCTTTGCAACACTTGTTTGGAGTCTTCAAAAGTTCAGTTACCAGTGGGTTGAAAAAGGCTGAAAGCTTTTCGTCAGCCATTCCACTGCAGTGGCAAATTGAATGACAATCAATCTAAGGAAAATAAAGAATGAAAACTGCATTTCTAAATCCATCTCACTAGCTTGTGACTTTCACTTAGCCACATGGATGAGTGTATTTTAACAACTCTATATATTTTGCATGCCTCTGGTTTAATTTTCTTTAATATATTGGGTTATTTCAGTTCTCATAACCAAAGTTTTGGGATGGTTGGTATTTACATTCTGCGTTTTTACATTGTTTACATCTGTTTACTCTGCATGTGCCACCTAACTTTTTTGCCTTGCTAAGTAAAATTTCTTTGTAAATGTAGATAGTTGGTTTGGTTTTGTTTTGTTTTCATGGATACGATACCTCGAATAAATGTGCACTGTTTTGCATAAGCCCTTTTTGGCATTCAGAAAGTTGGTTTGAGTTTCTCTTTTGTTAGTTGGTTCCAGTTTATATTTGGAAGTTGGATATGTTTGTTATATTAAAGGGATTGTTTAAGTTCATGAGTTTCTGAGTTTTTTCATGTAAATCTCTCCTAATATACTCTCTCATCAGAGTTAATAGGTATATACACAAAGAACAAAATACACTTCTAACTTGGTGATATTTAACTTTTCCTAAAAATACAGCCTTCTTCAAAGGGGTAGTTTTGATTGCTCTGGAAACAGGATTTATTTAGCTTAGAATTTAAACATAGTGTATTATGTACTATAAAGCATATTAATGGAGCATGTTAAATAAGAATGTGTATGTTTTTTAAAAATACTTCATCTTTGCTGAAGTAATACCAAATGTGTTTTCAAAGGTTCTACAACACTGAAGATTTGTTTATTCATATCAAAACTTTCAGGAAGAGCCACAGATTTTAGTACCTGTATATACATAGGTTTTGGTGATGTAGTTGTATGCATTTTTTTTTTCTCCTCACCTCCCTTCTGAAGTATTTAAAATTGTAGTAGGATGTTGTTTTCAGTCTGATCTAAACACTATGGTTGGAAGCCTTAGAGGTATAACAGTAAGTGCTGTTTTTAGAAACAGAACTAAAAACTCACCTGTTTTTCTTACTTTAAGACCCAGGTCAAAAGCAGATATTACTTACTATTTACTGTTGTTATCTACTCATTAAATTTCAGGCATTTCTTCCTATACTACAAATAGATAATTAGCAGCTTAGAATGAAAGATGGCACACACTGGACTCTTCATCTCTAAAAATTTAGTTTATAAAAAATAACACGGAACAAAAAATGGGTCAGTGTGAATGCACTGATAGTATCCGTACTCCTTCAGAAGGAAGTACAAATGCTTTACAGTAATTTTGGCTGTGGAGCATGACTGTGGTGTGCAGGAACGCATAGTGGTATGTACTGCTCCCTCAGAAGCTGAAATGATGGCTGGTATTTTTAAACATGCAGCATTGATTCAACACATGGTACTTAATGACATCAGTCACCTCAGCCTGGTGCTGTCCTGGCTGCTTGGAACATGGGGATCCCTTGTTGAGAGACAGGAGAAAACAGCTTAAAACAAAAAATGCTGCGTAGCAAGCCATAGAGAAGGTTTTCTTAATTAAAAATTAGAAATTGCTTACAACCCACAGACTTTCTACTTTGCCTCCAGTAATTTCTTCTGTCATGTCCGTGATTTGTATCAACAGGTTTCCCTATGTCAGAACAGACTATGACCATCATCATTTTTCTACTAGCCTGTTGTGGATGGTCACGCACATTTGACTGAGTTGCGTTAACACATGCTCAGCTCTTTGGAGTCATGGATTTGCTCACACAAAAATAATCTTTTGTTACTCTGATTGAAAATATTTTGTAATATCTGCTTTCTGGAACTGTATTCTTGGAAAGAACGTGTTACTTCTGTAAAACTGCAACTCCAAATAGTATATCTAGAAGTTCCAGTAGATAGCAAATCTTTCAGCATATTTTGCATTGTTTCATGTTTTATACATGTGCAGAGCCTTCAGGAGTCTGCAGTTGATCAACTTTAAGTACAGTTTTCTCATTGGTAATATTTTTAGTTATGGTTGATACACAGGGAAAGACTGAATCAAAATTTCATGGTTTTAACTCCTGATCTTTCAGGCTGTTTGTTCAGATTTTGGTCATGTTTGCCTGAAGAAAAAGTTAAATCTCTGCTACTGTTGATGGGATCAGAATTACTTCTATGCTCATGTTGGACAGTTGATTTAATTCTGGGTGTGTTTCCAGCAGTAAGAATTTAGAGCTCTTTAAATAGTAGCAAAGTAGTTGCCTGGATGTTTTGGAGCTTTTTCCCCCCCTTACAAAAGTAGGAATGTGCATTTTCAGTACTTTGTTGGAGGAGCATAGGAGAGTATTAATTCTAAAAATATGTGCATGGGTTTAACTGATAACTTTAAAAAAAAAAATGAGTTGTGTTTTCATGGTGTTTTTCATAAGCCCCTTTTTCTGCTGAGTCAAGAAAGCAGTGAGGTCATGGTGGGTGCATGAGAACTGACCTGAATATTAATAGCCCTAACTACATGGTTCAATGTATCCTTAAATGAGAGCACCGTTAGCTATGCAGGATGTTTTTCCCTTTTTCTATTTTTGCAAAATAATCTGAAAATACATCTTCTTGAATATCATACATTTTCAGAACAGACTGCACAATTTACTCTCGCATGAGCACTACCTGGATTTGCTGCCACAGTAGTCCCTAGCTATGTAGCCTCATTGCAAAGACACTGTGCTTTCCTGGCGTCTTTTGAAGGGTAAAAGCTCTGGTTTTCACTCAGCATTGAAAATAACATTTGTTTTTCCAAATGTTAATTTATTGTAGAAGAATTACATGACTGCCTCAGTTCTCAAGTGTCCCTTGAAATACTGAATTTACTTCATAAGCTCTTTGGGACAAACCCTCATTTTGCCTTGCCTTTGGACAGTGCTTATCCCAGGGGCAACTGTCATATGGGTCCCGATGCAACCTGGTACAAATCATTTTACAGATAGAGTTAATTTGGAAAAGCAAGCAGCTCTCAGTTATGTCTTCCCAATCCTCCAGTACTCTGTGCTGAATATTGCTGTGTATGTTCATTGTGTAACATCTAAAAATGTAGTTCTGGAATCGAGCATCCCCAGTTCAGGAATAACGTGGAATATTTTATTTTCTGTGATAAAATGTCATACTTCGTGTTTTGCTCTTGAGGCAATGTACAAATAGAGACAGGCATTGCAAGGTGCATTTGTGAGGAAAATTAGTGTCCCTCTAGTTTTGTGTCCGTCACTCTGAAGTACAATTATGGTCTGTAGCAAATTCCTGTTATTATCCACAAGTGCAAATCTGCCCTAAAATGTTGCTATTCCATCTCCAGCTTTGGGAGAGCTGAGTGGAGGAGGGAGCAGAACTATATATGCTCGAGGATTCCCTTCTGAACTCTACCAAGGTGGTCTCAGTCGGCATCAACACAAGCAAGTCGGGGATGTTGAGACTCCCAAACACACTTGGGTGCACCAGGGTTTAGCGAGTGGGAGCCTACCCGCTATGTCAGTGACTAGGGGGAGTTGCATAACTAGCGCTAGCATGTCCTTTGGAAGTGAGAAGATACCAAAGCCAGCTACTACAGAAAGCGAAAACAGCATCTCTCAAAACTCATTTGTCTGGAAATTGGATACCAATTGCAGCATGTCTGCAAGACTTAAATAGTCATAGCTTAAGTTCTTTAATCTGCTGCCTGAGATCAGTCTGTGTAGTCTGATTGGCTTTACTCTTCTTTTTGAAAACACAGCCAGACGAGACAGTTGTTTTAGTGATAATTGTGTTTTGTGAGGTAGCTTAATAGCTGCTCACCTAGAAAGTGAGACCATGTTCTACACCTTACTTAGCCTGAGGTTTAAACTCATTCCTGTGACTATGGAAGAATAAACTAAGTTGGCCGAGAAGGTGCTAAACTACTCCTCTCCTTTTGAGTTTAAGACGGGGTACAGAAAAGAGGCAGTGTGAGAGGAAGGAAGAGAGGTACTGTTATTTTTGGCCAGTAGAGACAAAATCTTAGGCTTTCTCCAGACATGACTTAGGCATTTAGACTTAAGGTCTTGGGAATAGAGCATACAGGGATAGTGTAAGCAGGGACTTCGAAACAGGCTGTGTGTCCATCCTAGGTTGTTTATTTCATACCAAGTACAAAATGAACATGACCTGAGTAGGAAATAGTAACAAATAATATGGTGAACAAAAGGATTTAGAAGACTGATGCGGTTTTCAAGCTAACAAAACAAGAAAAAATAAGCCTGCCTTCTAGCTTGAAGGGTGAGCGTTCCAGGGGAAGGGGATGCTACGCGGGGCAGCATCTTGAGTGGGGTCAGCAACATCGCAGTTCAGAAGCTCGTTGCTTCTGATTTCACACAGATCTGCCTCTGTGTATAGGATCCATTCTGAGCTACATTTTGCATTCTTTATCCTCTTCCTCAAGTAATTTTCTTTTCAAATTCTGGTAAGTGCATTGTGTTACACAGATGGAGCTTATTTTCTTGAAACCTCTTGTCCTAAAACATGCATACT